TCTTCAATGATCTATTTTGGGGATTGTAAAAAATATGAGTAAATGGTAATTATCACTCTGGGATTCATTTTTTCCCCTCAGGAGTTCAGGGAATGTGTGTCTCAATACAGCTTTTGTATTAAACAGTTTGTCATTGTGTAAGAGAAGATTAAGGTTGTCATATTTATTATTTTAAAAAATATATATTTTATTGATTTTTTTACAGAGAGGAAGGGAGAGGGATAGAGAGTTAGAAACATTGATGAGAGAAAAACATCAATCAGCTGCCTCCTTCACATCCCCTAATGAAGATGTGCCTGCAACCAAGGGGTACATGCCCTTGATCGGAATAGAACCTGGGATCTTTCAGTCTGCAGGCTGACGCATTATCCACTGAGCCAAACCAGTTTCAGCATTAGGTTGTCATATTTTAAAATATTTTTCATAGGGTTCTGTGTAGCCAGTGATTTTACATAAACTTTTATAGTGTGCTATATTTCTATGTTATGTGGAGATATTTATTGTTTGAGCAAGAGGGCTAGGATGCACTTATCTATTTTCCATAGACACAATTAAACTTTTTATTAATAAATTAAATTTCTCAAAGCTCAAAGAACTTTCTTCTCTTTCTTACTTCCCTAACCTAGTTTTTAAAGTCTCTGAAAGCTTTTCTCTTGTTACAGTTCTTTTCACGGAAAATAGGTTTACCTTTTCCTCTTACAGCCTCAGCCGGTGAGTTTTATCTCGACATCATCTTCGCTCCCCTGTGCCACCTCCTGGGCCGCCTGTTTCTCTTTGAATTTTCCTTTCTCCTGTGAGATGATGGGGCTCTGAGTGCCCTGATGGGGCGAAGGGACAGCCCCGAGGCTACACCGAGGATATGACTATTGAGTTTGCCTCTCAAAACCGATCAGTGCCATGTAGACTAAAGTCAGTTTTTTTCTAGGGGCACTTTCTGATTTTTATTGTAACATTATTTGTTTCTGGAAGGCAAACTGATTTATTTTAGATTCTGAGCAAAAAAAAAAAAGTCAGTATTTATTTTAATTGCTGCTGTAAAGTCTAACTTAGAAAATATTTCACCAGGTCTTAAAGATAACTCTTCTATCATTATTAAATTTGTAGACATAGAGAGTAAGTATGAGATATAAGGATCGAGTTTTATTTTTTAAAAGCTCCACTTGGCAGCAATGGGGTTATTAGCTTTTCCATGTTAAATATTTCTTTCAAAGGCTTTAACTATCTATTGCAAAATCAATTTTTCTAAAGTCTTTGGTTCTTTGTGAATTATTGGCTTTAGCCCTTTAGCTTGATTTTAGGAATTAATATAAGTGGTTTCATTTATGGACTTATTTTATATCACAGCAAAAAAGAAAAAAGCTTTTTGCTACAATGATTGTTTTTTCAGGATTGATTTTTTTAAATATAAGTGGAATTGTAATTTTATAATTTATTATATTTTAATTTTTACTTTATTATAAAAATATTAATTTAGTGTATATACATACATGGCACATAGTAGCTAATATATATATATGTAGATATATTTATATTATATCTTTATATCTATATATGTGTGTGTGAGTGTGTGTATATATATATATATACATATATATATATATGTATATATATATATAATAAAAGCATAATATGCAAATTGACTGAACAGCAGAATGATTGCCTGGATGACCTTCTGGATGACCACACTATGACACGCACTGGCGTGTGATGTGATTGGTCGTGGGGGGCCTGCCATCGCCCCACGATCATCCTGCAGGGGGAAAGCTCAGGCCACCCTCTGCGGGGTGATCGATGGGAGGGCTCCACAATCAATCGTCCCAAGAGGGAGGCCCAGTACACCACACGGCTGGTGGGTGATTGATGGGGGAAGGAACTCCATGATCACCCCACAGCAGGAGGCCCAGGCCACTCAGCTGGCGGGGCCAGGACGGGTGGGCGGGGCCTCCCTCTGCAGGGTGATTGATCTGTGGACCCAAGTACTACCAGGCAATGAGGTGGAAGTATTTGCTGTTATCCAGAGCTGATCAAGGAAGGCTTCATTGGCTGTGATGTTTTAGAAGAGAACTGAAAGCAGTGGAAATTGGTGTAATCTAGGTGAGACATGGTGACTTAAATCAGGATAGGAGCAGGAGAGGTGGTATGAAAAGGTCAGACTTTGGACTTGTGAAGATAGAACTGGCTGGGTTTATTGACTTAGTGGAGATGGGCCATATTGAGAGAAAAAGTCAAGGATGATACCAATATATGTTTTAGTATATTATTAAAAAAATGACAAACATAGAAAATATAGAAACAACATTACAATTGGCACTTATATTCCTACCACTTAGATTCTACAATTCTTAACATTTTTCCATATTTGCTTCAAACATTTTATTCTGTCAATGCGTTTTAAATTGTAGACATCATTTCTGCCAGAAATAGTTCAAAATGCATCTTGAAAAACAGACATTTCACAAATAACCATATATCATTATAAACAAGCTGTTTGGTCCTTATTGACATTTTCTAAAACGTTTTTTATAGCATATTTGTACCAGCAAAGTGTCCAACCAAGACTCATTCATTGAATGTATTTATACAAAACATTCCCCTCCTCATTATCTATTTAATTTTGACATTGACTTAGGAAAGAGATTAGATTACTTGTCAAGTAGACAGTCCTCTCAAGTGGTGGCTGTTTTCTTTGCCATGTGTTTCAAACAACTGGTCCTAGGGGTGTTGTCAGTGTTTTCATATCTTCCTTGCATCTCACTGCTATTTTGGGATCATTTTCTCAGTGTATCCATCGGCCACCGCCAGCTCCTCTACTGGTAGTCTTGTGCAAACTACTGTGTCCTCCTCCCAGTTCTGAAGATTTAGTTCCCACTTTACCTCACTTCTTCTAACAGTCCTGCTGTCATAATTCTGTGTATTTTGTAGCATTTTCTGTATTACGAAGAAGCCACGGAGGTGAATTCTGTTGGTGAATGGGAAAGGCGAGAAAGTGGTATGAGAAGTGAGCTTTGGAAATGCGGTAGAATTTTTAGAGAAATGGTGATTCAGTGGAGTGGGAAGAAAAAACCGTCTGAATAAGGGGTGGTGGTGGTGGAATACCTGCTAGTTGGCGAGGGTGTGGGCCTGAAGCACGATGGGGAAGCTGACATGGAACAGAAAAGCTCCCGCACTTACCTTACCTGCCAGGCTGGTTGCACTGCTTAGCTTTTCCTCCACCCCCCACCTCTGCGCTTTTGCTAAGGGGTAGGGTGAGGTGTAAGGAAGGAGGGAATTTTAAGTAGTGAAAACAGCATGAGCCCAAAACCACGTTCAAGTACTCCTCCTACAGGGAGCCTTTTTCAGGTCCCTGCTAGGAATGCACCACCCTCCTCTCATACATTCCTGTGGCACCTTGCAGCTCCGTGAACAAGTCCATTCCATCTTGCCCTCCTATTTGTGCGTCTTCTTCCTTTAAAGCATGAACCATTTCTTCATTGCTCTGCTCTTCTGCCCAGCACTCAGCACAAAGGTTCCATAAATGTGTGTCAGTATGTGTGAGAGTGGAAGGGCAGACACCAGTCGGGGTTAGTTGGGGGAGGGCTCTGGATGTCATGTGAAGGACCTTGGGCTCGCTCTGCCTATAGCCATGACCATGGCAGCTTTGGAACAAAGCAGGGCTGGGCTGGTCAAGCTGAGGTGTAAGGAGAACATCGAAGTGCCTCCGTGTGGCCTGGAGAGCTCGGAGCCAGAGACAGCGGCCAGGAGGGGCAGAAGGGGGGGCGGGGGCAGTAGTTAGCACCTGCTGAACCCGGGTAGCCACTTGAATGGAGGGATTGAAAAAGAAGGAGGGAATGGCACATGGCTTTGAGGTTTCAGGACTCGGTGACTAGGAGACAGACAAAGGCTTCTTACTGAGCGTGGGACCCCAGGGGCCATGTCAGAGCACATAAGGGATTCAGCATGGGTCCTAGCACTTCCTCATCCCAAACCCTCCCTGAGTTCAAAATGATGTGTGCTGTTGAAAGACTCAACTGTGTCACATATGATGGGAAAGGAGATACTGTCACTACACGAGGCACAAAAGAACTGACTTTCGTGTAGTGACCATTTTTCACTCGGCTTTAGTGCTGATTTTATTAACAATGGATGTTAGTCAGCTTTTTTAACCTTGACTCTTGGCCGTGTCAGAGCAGCTAACCATGAGACGGCCAGCAGCTTTCTTTTGGCTCCTGCGTCCCTCCTGTCCCCTTCCTAACAACAGAAAATTTGCTGTGCACCTGCTCCAACCAGGTTCTAAGTGATAAACATCTTGCAAGCCCAGAAAATTGTAGTATCAAATCTCAGCCCCAACTGTGAGGCAGCACTCTCGTCGAATCCCGCCGAGGGGGCCTGCTTTCCCAGTTCCCGGGAGGGGGGGGGGATCTTTTCTTCCCTGGCCCCTGCTCAGGCTTGAACTATGACCCAAACCCAGTTTTTAGCTCCCAGCATGCACTGCTCTGGCTGCAGGTCCTGACCCCGCCCTGCAACGCTCTTGCTCTCCCTCACCCCGCAGGTCAGGCGTGGGTAGCCCCGAGGTCCCCCAGAATGCCCAATTTCAAAGATGAGTGTATTTATCCAAGGAGAGAAAATAGGCTTTTCTATTTGTTACAGTCCATCACTTTTCTCCCCAGAAACGCACGCTAAAGGAACATTGAATATTTCGATTGTGATTTGGTAAATATATAAAACCTTGCCTAATAATCACCATGTTTCTTTTATTCACGTACTCCTTCATAAATTAAATGCTTTGTTATAGCTCATGATTTATTTTAAGAGGGATATTCCGATTTTCACTGCTAAGAAATGTAAATATTTTAAGCTGATGCCATATTTAGGAAAACTCTTGTAAGAATTTCAAGTAAAATTAGCAAATACTCTTCAGGTAGGTCTATAACATTCTAATTGGACTTAGTCCATGGCTTTAAAGGGAATAAAAATAATGCTGACGGAGACTGTGTAACATTATCCTTATGCTTGCTTCTTAGGTTTTCCAAACAGACCAAAGTCATTAAAAATATTCCTTAACCCCCAAAGCCACAGAAAGGAAGCTAAACAGATATATTATGAGAAGGTGGAGCCACTGTTGAAGATTGCAGGAATTGAGACTGATGTAACAAGTAAGTGATTTTCAGACTATAATTTTGCCATTAAAAAAAAAAATCACACTTTAAGGAAACAAAATAACCTGAATTTGTTCTTCTTTTTTTTTTTTTTTTCCTTCTGAATTTGTTCTTAATCCAAATTTAGGAAGCTACTTGTGATATCGAAAGCTGTTTAAGTGTTTCCTAAGCTCTGCGGCAGCCAGCTTCAGGATGATAAGTTTAATTATTTTTTCTTTATTGTGATATTTTTATTGCAGTATCAGTATTTTCTCTTTAGAGCGGTTTTCAGACTTGAAAAGTGAGTAGGTATTGCTTTTTTATATCTTCGTTGACATGTCTGCTATTTACACTTCATTTCTGCAACTTGGCAAGCAATGGACCTTCGCTGACTTAAATGTTGGCTGTCTCTCCATGGAGTCCTTCCTTAGTGGTTTTTGTTCTGACTCTGACCCCTGCTGGTTAGGTCAACACTAAACACTTAGCTTGCTGGTTTTAGATGAATTTAAAGAAGCCAGAAGCTTAAATCCATTGACTAAGTTAAGAAAGGTGCTTAGGTTTGTGCCCAGAAAAACAGAAACTCCCTACTTCTGAAGTTAATATAGAAAGAAGATTAGTAAAATCTTTTCAACTTTTTTGAATTTGGTAACCAAATTATTTTGAGACAAGATTATTTTTTCCCACAGGGAGGTGGGACTGAGAAGGAGGATTGATGCTAATATTGTAAATCATACCCTCATTTTTTTCTGGTTTTACTTCTACGTAGCTTTGCTAATATACAGTGAAAAATTATGGCAAATTTTAATTTATGAAGAGTACCGAGCGATAAGTCTGCTCAGAGGCAAGGCTGAAGTGTGCCTGGAATCACCTCATCCCAGTGGTAAATTCCTGGGGACGGGATCCAGATGACCCAGCTTTGCTCAGCTGTGACCACAGGACAGGGGTTTCCCAATGCTCCTAAAGTCAGTGAAGCCCATGCCTCATGATCGATGAGTTGGGGTAGAAGGAAGTTTCTAAAAATAAAATGAAAACAAGAAAGAAAGGGCAATCATTGTGGGAAGGTCGGCCATCTGAAAAGGCTGCCACAACAAAAGAAGGGTCAAGAGAAACAAACATAAAAAACACAAGAGAAATTTCCGAATTAAAATTAAATTGTAGCCAAAGCACCATAACCCATAGACGCTGACAACAATGTGGTGATGGCCAGCGTGAGGAGGGAGAGAGGCTAGGTAGAGGTGGGCTAAGGAGGGCATGGGATGAGGACACCTGTCATAGAGTCACCGATAGAAATAAAGTTAAAAATTAACAAATGTGCTGGTAGGTAAAGTCTCAAAAAATAAAATTAGAGTGTAGAAATAATCCTTTCATCATGTGGCTTTTGGCTTACTTAGATGGCTATAAGCAAAAGAAACAGTACAAATCTATCATTCTTTCCCACTGAAGACGTTGAAAGATTGGCAGAAGGAACAGTTTGACATTCATATTAGGATGAGTGGAATAAACTTATTGGCAAACTCATTAAAACTATTTTGTTTCATACTATTTTGATTTAATATCCAGAACAGTTTTATGTGGATATTCTACATATCACTCAGTTCAAGAAGCTCTTGTGGAGTGATTTGTGTTAAACACTGCAGAATGGGAGAGTAATAAGATATGCAACCTGTTCCAGAGTGACCTGTATAGGTTATTATGGACACAAATAGTATTTAAAATAAATGTCATTAGAGTAACATAACAGAACTAAGGTGCCTCAAAGGATGATATTAATTTTGACCAGAAGACTAAAGTATTTGAATTGGGGAAGTTTTGGAGTGTCAGAAAAGGCAAAGAATGGTTTTCCATGCATACACAGCAGAAGAAAAGTGAGGGAAGGTAGGCCAGCTAGCAGGCACATAACAGATGGTGTGTGTGTGTGTGTGTGTGTGTGTGTGTGTGTGTGTGTGTGTTGTACCAATAATATTCAGGGAATACTTTGCTCTGCCTTCGAGTTTTCACTTCATCATAAATTTGGTAGTTTCAATCATCATAAAATGGTTGCTAGTTGATTGGATTTTTCTTTATTCAAATCTAGTGGGGTGGGAAGAGGTGTGTGTATGTGAGAGATTCAAAATGCTTTAATCCTGAAAAAAGATTCAGATTTCTTCCTTTTAGATGGACTGTCCCAGTGTAGTATGTATACCCAACCTGGAGCAATCGATCTCTTAGCTCTCTATAACCTCCCTTGGGCTGAAGGTGGGACCCCACTTTCTGAAGGCTGAGAATACCTGAACTGATCCCTGGTCCAGTTAGGGAGATAAAAAGGCAAATGAGCATCTGTGAAGGCCCCCAGGATTGTACACAAGAGGAAGTTTGAGTCTGGATTATGGATGGATCTTAATGTTACCCTCAGGAGTTTATTCATCAGGCTTTGATCCAGAGTGGATATAAATGTTTTATAGAGTTGTAATCTGGTTCAGCAAAAATGATTCTGCCAGCAGAATAGAGAGTAGGAAGACAGATAGGAGGATCTGAAACTGGTACAGAGGCCTGCCGTAAGGCAGAGTTAATGATCGGAATATGGTTTCCTTCTTAAAACAATTGTGTGGTAGAGAAAAAGATTATGTTCCTGGGCCTTTTTTCTAAATTTGTAAATGTTATTGAATATTATATTTATTTTGACATAAAATTAGAATATTACATATTTGTGGAGAATGTCTAATTATTGCCTAACACTCCCCCCACAGGCAAAATTATAAAATTGCATCTTTCGCTTATAGAACCATTTCAGTATGTATATTTACTAAATATTTATATAAACATGTTTTCTATTTTGTGTGAAGAGATGAATAAACATGTGGATACTTGAAACATTTTAGAATCCTTCTGCCTAGTCTCATAGTGTCATTTTGTAGTTTGAATAAAGTAATGTATTTGAAATTACCTTTTGTATTAGAAATGCTATAGAAATGTCATAATGCTGTGCATTTCAGTTTTATAAAATTATGCAACAGTAAGATTCAATTCACACTTCATTTGAAAGAAAATGCATCTTAAAGAGTAAAGCAGAAAGAGTACAAATTTTCTGCATGTCCAGTGCGATTCTTATTCAATGTATCTTGCGCACATTGCTGACAGCAAATGGAATTTGAATTACATAATAAGTTCTATACAATGATTAACTCATTAGAAGATAGTGCTGTATAAATGAGTGCTATATAAATTATAACTAGATATATAAAGTAATTTTTTTCTATGCTTTCTTTTAAATATCTTATCACATTAATAAGAATATACTTACTCCTTTCACATTGCTAGTGCTGAAACCCTAACCACTTCTGGAAATAACTTCAGCATCTTTAGAAATGGATGAGCTAAAGTTGCATCCCCCTGCCCCCCATCACCAATATAGTATCTTATTTTCATAACTAGAAACCCTGTGCATGAACTAGGGTCTGTAGGCCTGGCTGGCAATCAGGGCTGATCAGGGTCTTCCTTCCCTGGCTCCCGATGGGGTCTCCATTCTCTGGCTATCAGCTGCCAGCTGGGGCCTTCCTTTGTTCTATGCCACCTCCTGGTGGTCAGTGCACGCCATAGCAAGCAATTGAACTCCCAGTGGAACTCCCAAGGGGATACTTTGCATATTAGTCTTTTATATATATAGATGGTTCAGAAAAACTTTTGGAAGAAACTGAATAAAAAACTGATTTTTTTTAATACTTTGGTATATGAATCAAGGAAAAGCATATGTGGCAATCCCATGTAGGCATGTGCTATCATTGCTCTCACTTCCTACCAAAACAGAGGAGATTTTTAGGAATTAGACTATTAAAGGGAAGAGAAATTTTGAGAGATCCTTAATCCATAGGATTCATAAAATAATTCTGAAAGTAAAGAAGTGAAAAAGTTAAGACAGCAGAGAAATCAAGCTGGAAAGAACTGTAGAGACCATCTAATTCAATTTTCCCCATGTGGTCGGTAGAGTGCAGGGGTGTGACATTCCTCATAGGTGAGCATCCAGCCTTGACTTGGGCGTCCTATGATTGAGTCATTGTGTGCCATGGATGGGCAATACTAGTGGATAGTCTTATCTTGAATTCAGGGTCACTGTGGTTTTGTTCAGATTAGAACATGATGTCTCCTTTTGCTGAACTACAAAAAGGTGCCCTGATCGGCTGGCTCAGCTCAAAATCACCTAATATGTTGGGTACATGCACTGGCTGGACTGCAAACCCACTTGCCCTTTTGCCGGTTGCCTTTGTGCAAGACATAAACTGCGCAGCACGGAGAATTCGTGAGCTGACATTTGCCCCTTGTCATTTTTATCTACTAGAGAAAATGATTTCCTTTGTGAGAATGCATAATAAGTGACATAAATGTTCCCCATCTTCTGCATAAGAGTCACTGAGATATTTGAAAACGGATATAGCTGTCCTTGACCTCCCTTGTTCGTGACATGCAACTCCATCTCCTTCAGACAACCTTTGTATTAAAGCACCGCTAAGCCTTATCGTGCTCATTATCGTTATTATGGCCCACGTTACCGCTGGGCACAGCCTCTATCTTTGCCAGCTCAAGGAGTGCCCCGTCACCAGGTAATTTTTACTTCCTGGGGTCCTGGGCAGAATTGTCAAGAAAGTAGTTTATTTTCACGTCCCTCTTTTTTCTCCTTCTTACATCTAACTTTTGCCAACTCTGCTCTTTGGACTTTCCATGTCTGACTCTTTGTATCTAACTGAAGCCTTCCTACTTTGGAGATGCTGCTTGTTATCCCTTCTGTCAGCCTGTGGAAAGCTAGGCAGTTTGAAAAAAGTCACTAACGATGGTAGCAGGCCGAGGCATTGCTCCTTTCCAACATCACCTGCTTCTTATTAGAAGTCTGGAGAGTGCCCTAACTGGTTTGGCTCAGTGGATAGAGCGTCGGCCTGCAGACTGAAAGATCCCAGGTTTGATTCCGGTCAAGGGCATGTTCCTTGGTTTCGGGGACATCCCCAGTAAGGGGGGTGCAGGAGGCAGCTGATCTATGTTTCTCTCTCATCGATGTTTCAAACTCTTTCTCCCTCTCCCTTCCTCTCTCTATATATAAAAAAACAATCAATAAAAACAAAGTCTGGAGAGTAACTATTCTTACATCATAGTCAGCTAGCAAGAAAGAAAATCCTAGGTGAAAGGTTCTTTTCATTATACCATAAATAATTGTGAATGTACATGGCTGATCCCATTTCATATAGTCGGATATAAGTTAGGAAGTTAGAACTGTATCCTGGGGACAGTGAAGAGTCATGAATGGGGTTTACGTAGGGAAGTGATGTGATTAAGTTTGTGTTGTGAGAAAGGTCATTCTGGCTACAGTGGGATAGAGGTCGGAGAGAGATAGGAGAAGAGGCTGTTGTAACATACATATTAAAGATGGTGGCGCCCATATCCAGGGCATAGGCTGGAGGGATGTTTGGATGCTGTAACATAATTAAAGCCAGAAACAACTGACCTTGGCCATGAGATGGTTGTGGAGAGTGGAGGAGAGGGATAATCTAGGAAGAAGTAGTTTTCCTGTCTTGAGTAATGGGGAGTGGATTATAGAACACAAACGGAACAATGGGTGTATTTGAGAAGAAATATATTTAAAGGTGGAAAGGATGCATTCCTTTTTGAGATTACTAAGTTGTAGCATTTATAAGATAAGAAAGCAGATGACATCTCGGTATTTAATCCAAGTTTAGAATTTTATCGCCAGACAAAATAATGTTTCTTTATGTCCAGAGGAAATCATCCGTTTGCACTTCAACCCATTTCCTCATCAACATTCAATATCAACCTCAAGACAGTACCTTTCAGGTTTGTCTTCCTGGGGAAGTAATTTAAATTGGTCATTAGGATGAGAGATCTCAGCAGTGAGAACTGTTTGAAGACTTGAGAATAATGAGACTCCAAATTTCCTGTATGGAAGGGGAGTAGGGTATCGGCCTCATTGGAGAAGGATGGATGAAAAAAGAGCTAGCAACTTTTGGATACTGCATCTGCCCAGCGGTCTACTCTTTTTTTTTTTTTTTTTTTTTTTAATTTATTTTATTTTATTTTTTTTATTGTTATATTCCTTTGGAGTCGTATTATTTGAATGTTTTTTTTTCTGATTCCAGAGACTATAATATGCCATCTAAATACATATTTTGAGTCCTTCTATATTTAAATAGTAGTCCAGATTATTCTCTATAATTTTCCCTTAAAATAATTTTTTCTTTAAAATAACTTATTACTATTTTATACATATATATTTTTAAATTAGTATACATTGTTGGTATCTGGAATGTGAAGACCAAGGACTTCATTCATTTTGTCCTAATATATTCTGGTTAAGTTTGTTTCATCTTTTCTGACTTTTTATTTCAGCTCAGGGATTTTGTTTAACTTATAAACAGAATCCCTTAAAAATTGCTCTTCTTGGATGATTTGCATCCATGTATAATCAAATTCTGCCTGCAAGATAAAAGGAAAAAAATAAACTTTTTCAAATTTTACCTAAGTAAAAATAGCATTCAGCCATGACATACTTTTAAGCTAATTTTGTACTGGGGTTGAGAAGCTTAAGTGTTGGTATAAAAGCGGGACTTTGCAAACTGTTTCTCAGCATAAATATTTCTTCATGATATTCTTAATTATTTTTAATGTGTGTATGGAGATATTTTTATTTCTTTTCATTTAAGGTTGTAACTACTTACTGAGGTTGTGAATAAGTGATCAACACAAAATCATTTATGATAACAAACTTCCAGGCTTGTCGCCTTCTTCTGATTAGAATTTAACACAGAGAGGCTTTACTCATGTGAATATAATGGCATTTGAATAAGCTGTGGGAGAATTACAATGTAACGCTGCTGGATACAGAATGATTCTTTCAGACACCAAGACTAATAATATCTAAAAACACTGTAGGAAAAGCTTGAACCATGCTGGCACCAGGGACAGACAGGCATGAAAGATTAATGTAATCTTGCATATAACGATGCGCATTCTTACACACAAAAAAATCCATCTGCAGTGTCACGTCAGTCAGCAGAAATCTTTGATGGGTGGATACAGCTGGGCTGTCTCTGCTGGCAGAGCTGCCCCGGAAAATGCTAAACGTGGCTTGGGATGCTCGGTGCCATCTGCAGAGTGCCAGTTTATCCTGTCTCCACTGGCATTTACAATGCTGCACGGGGCCTCATAGCTGTGGAGACAGCAATAGGGAGTGACAGATTCATTTCCTCGGAGGACCCGCTCTGGTGGGCCTGCACCACCCTCCTTGGCTTGGATTTGTTACCACTGGTGTTGGCTTTACTTCTCGTTTCCATGTCCAACTCCTCCTCCTCCTCCTTGTCGTCTAGCAGTTCCAGATACACATTCTTTTGGGATGTAAATCTTACACTAACCTTTCCAGTAATGTATTCATGTAAGGTTGCCAAAGCGAGTTAACACGGACGGCTCGATGCCAGCCAATATGCCTTATTTTCAACATACTCCTGCTCCCCAGGCTTCTGATTTAAGAGAAATGTGTCTCATGTAGGGAACACTAAGTAGACTGGCATCAAGATAAATGACCCAACTGCTCTGGGTGGGATATCCCCGTGTGACTTATGGAATTGGAACAAATGTATGACCCTCTTTTACATAAAGCTGTAAAACACATCAGGCAACTACCAATCCTCGTTCCCATGATTAAAATATAAATATTTAAGAGTAAATGTTGTTTTGCGACCCGACCATATGTTTATATTATTTTGCCAGACCCAGTTAAAAAGTGTAGATCATTGTTTAAAACTTTCACTTGTGGTTTTTTTGTTTTTGTTTTTTTTTTAATAGTAACAGAATATGAAGGGCATGCTCTGTCACTGCTAAAGGAATGTGAACTACAGGGATTTGATGGGTAGGTTACATTATTAATATATGTATGTCTTATGGTTTATATTATTAAATGTTTTCATTAGGGGTTTTTTTGTTGTTGTTAATCCTCACCTGAGGATATTTTCTTCCATTAATGTTTTAAAGAGAGTAGAAGGGAGGAGGAGAGACAAACAGAGAGAAACATGGATGTGAGAGAGACAGATTGACTGGTTGCCTCCTGCAGGGGCCTGCAACTGAGGTTCAGGCCCTTGACCGGAATTGAACCTATGACCCTTCAGTCCTAGAGCCGATGCTCTAATCACTGACCAAACTGGCCAGGCCTATTCTCATTAGTTTTTAGCTATATATTTGGGACTTACAGTTTTTAAGTATTTATGATGTATATAATTAGGCATGATTTCTTTAATATCCGTGTAATGACAGTTAATGGTAATCATGATAATAGGACATAGTCATCACCTCTCAAGATTGGGCATAGAAAGCAAAAAGGAGAAACGTAATTGAGGTTCTGGGAAGTCACAGGGTGCTGTGCTGTACAGAGCTAACAGGCAGACATTGGCCTCTGTGGTCCTGAATTCTTGCCTTTATCCATGGGAGTGTCTAGAAAAGCCCTGAGGGAAGATACTATGTCGGTCATACAGCATAACTGTACCGTGATCCTCTCCTGAAAATTTATTGAGAGTGCTAACCCACTAGTTATTTGACTATGATTGACAGAGGGTAAATATTTTATAAAAACAGACATATTATTTTCATAATGAATAACAAGATGTTAATTTAAACTATCTTCTGTGATTCTGTGATTACCTAATAAGTGTATCATTCACCATAGACATCGGGAACTGTTGTGTGCAGTGCACTGTGGGAGTGTGTAGAAAGTGTGCAATGAAATGCAAACATTAGAAACAAGGCAAGTGGCATATAGTTTAATAGCCATTTTTAAAAATCAGGTGTGTTAATTTGTTAAAGTGCTGGGTTGATATATATGATAAAAACATTCTTTCCAAGGGTGGACATTTCAGAGTTCTGAAAGGTGGCCAGTGTGTGAATTACTTGTGTCACGTGGCCATGTGCGAGGGGGACAACAAAAGACTCATCATGCGGAGAAGGGCAGGTGGGTCTTTCAACCAAAGTGAAGGGCTTTGCCATTCAACAATTAGAACGTGTGCGGGAGGAAAGTGATCAAATCAAAATGGAGCATTAGAAGTATTATTTTTCAAAGTACTTAATATATATATATATATATATATATTATTATTTTTGCTGAGAAGAATATTAGTAGATGAAGAAAGTTTGGTAAGTAAAATTATTTTTCAAAAAGTAATTTAATAGATAGGAATACATCTAGATAGCAATATTATATAAATGATGAGGAATATGGGGCAGGCAATTCAGACTTAGAGTTAGACAGGTTAATTAATAGGCTACATTTAGGAAATTATCAAGTTTACAATTTAAGAAAGTAATTGGGGGAATCATGTCCACTAACTACATACTTTAATGTACTGCATAGCTCTGAATCATAATTGGGGGGTAAGTGTAAGTGTGGCTGCATTTCAAATAAGCTTTTGCTTCCAAACATGATAATATGCATATGATAGATATCGTAGATATTAGACCTGGTCTTTACCTTCAGCGTTATGAAGTGTCTGGCTAAATGTGGTATCTATGAATAAGTTTTATTGGTAATTATATTTTGCAAGGATCAAAAATAGCTTTGCAGCCCTAACAGGTTTGGCTCAGTGGATAGAGCATTGGCCTATGGCCTGAAGGGTCCCAGGTTCGATTCCTGTCAAGGGCATGTACCTTGGTTGCAGGCACATCCCCAGTAGGGTATATGCAGGAGGCAGTTGATGGATGTTTCTCTCTCATTGATGTTTCTAATTTTCTATCCCTCTCCCTTACTCTCAGAAAACATCAATAAAATATATATATTTTAAAAAAAAGAATAGTTTTGCAGAATGATGCAAGATTATTGCTCAAGCGTTGTACAGTCACTTTTTCCTCTTTACCTGAACCTACTTAATTTTTGTTATTAGTTTGCAGTGTGACACTAACAGAATATATAGGTCCTTTAGTTAATACCCACATTTTTTAACCAAATAGTTTGGCCTTCTCATTATATGAACTGAGTTCCAGTAATTAACTATTTTTAAACTCTAGCATGCTGATTTAGTTAGGACTTACTGTAACTTGAAAGTTCTCTATTTTATAAGATCCTTTAAATAGCTCATTTATTTCCTTGGGCTCATCCCCCCCACCCACCCACCCACCCCCAGTAGAAACTGATACGGTTGTTGGGATCTTAATAAAATGGTCATTTTAATCCTCTACACTTAGAATTACCTAGAGAAGTATATGAGGAGAACAATGGAAATGTCATTTCTTAGTCACTTCCAAAGAACCATTTTCTAACAAGTGGACCATTTGAAAATGCAATGCCCTGCAATTCTGAGTTCCCTGTCCCTGAACCTGTTCAAAGAGTGCCTCTATGGGAGCAGTTTTTGAAGCTTCTATATGAAGACTCCAGGGTGGGATAAGGAGCCTCACTGTTCTACGGGATTTTGATGAGAGAAGGGCATCATTCCTCCAAGGATGAGCTCTGCCTGACTCTGGAGGGGAGCTATTTGTAGACACAGAGGGGTTAGGATCCAAGAAAGATTCTGTGTGTATTTTTCGGTAAAGCGAAAATGGTTTGGTAAGTGTTGTTTAAGAAATGTCATTTGCTCAGATTAATGAATTGCATATGTTTCTGTGAAGACACATTGTGGCATATTTCTAAAGCCAACAGGAACAGTGTACAGTACTCACGACAGCTGGTGTGCAACTCCAGTGTGTTCTGGAAAACAGATCCTGTTGCTGAAATGTTAGGAGCGTCAGTTTCTATATTGGCCCCTCTATTGGGCACAAATAGCAAGTTTTGCAAAGGCCAAGAAAAGATGTGAAGCAGTAACAGTTGAATGTATAGTGTAAATATGGTTAAGCAAATCTGTAGCTCTTAGGCAATTATAAATATACTAATATTTTCCTATTTTGTTTGACATGTTTTCTAATTTAATTTATTTAATTATGTATTTTTACTTATTTTGTTAATTTCACCATTTACTGGAACCACAATCATTTAAACATTATTCGGCTCACATTGACATTTTATCACATTGACCATGGTATCCGTATAGTTAAGGTTAGCCAAAAGGATCTCTTTTTCAAAAATGTTTTAAATAAAAAAAATCCAATAATATAGTGAATAGTTAAAAAATGATATTGGTTGATAGGTAAATACACAAACATCCATTTAATTTTTATTTTATTTTTATAAAGAGATATAAGATAATAGCCCCCAGTTGTACTTTTCCAGACAGAATCATTCTACTTTGGACCATGGCAAGAAAAAAATCAACTTATCCCAAAAACATATGATAGGCTACATGCCAAATATTAGTTACACTAAGGGTTATATTCTCTTAAGTGTGGTTAAATTAGCTCATTATGAAAGGTTGGTTCCCCCCTACCCTTTTCTTGTAGTATCCAGACCCTTGTGATATGTTTGTATTAAGTATATTTGTAGGTCTAGTAACTACATCTGCAAATGATCTTAATGATCTAGTAGGAGTCAAAATAATAAATAAATACCTCTCTAACTTGTTTAATTTCACATTAGTTATCCTGGTAAACTGATTTTCAAAGTAATAAAACTCTCATATGGCTATCCTCAATGAGGTTGTACATAGTGTAGAAAAGGAAAATGATATCTTGAATAAAAGTGCAGTCTCCAAGGCCAAATTGTCTTATTTCAAATCGTCATTCTATCACTTACCATGGCATGGCCTTGGAAAAGTTACTTAATCTTTCAATGCCTTAGTTTTCTAATCTGTAAGTTGAGTGTGATTGTATATCTGTTGTATACAGTTATTGTTCAAATTAAATTAGTTAATAAATGGTGAGTGCTGAGAGCAGTGCCCAGTACATAGTAATTACTCACTAAATGTTATTTTATTGTAATCATCATTTGTTATAGTTTTAAAATATGTGTGATGATAATATTTCCAAGGCTTTTATAGCAGAGTGTGTTCATAGAAAGGCTATCTGTACTAACTCTAGTTAATGTACACGCATTAATGTGTACATGATGTTCTAACTGGATGCAGGATTCCAGGGGCCATAGGCTACTATGCTGTACAAAAGAGTCAAGACCTTTGGCATTAAGTTAGATGCTTTTTTTAAAAATTTTATTGATTTTTCACAGAGAGGAAGAGAGAGAGACAGAGAGCTAGAAACATCGATGAGAGAATCATCATTCAGCTGCCTCCTGCACCCCCCACCGGGGATGTACCCGCAACCAAGGCACATGCCCCTGACCGGAATCGAACCTGGGACCTTTCAGTCTGCAGGCTGACGCTCTATCCACTGAGCCAAACCAGTCCTGGCAAGTTAGATGCTTTGTTAGGTGATTTTACGAGCTCCTTTTGGGCCACACACACCTCAGTAGGTAGATAGGCATGGATCTGAAAATTATAAGTTTATACAATGTTTGGAAATTTGCTCATAGAGATCTTTAGAATCATATAGATACGATTCAAATCAAACCTTGGCTTCCTCATTTATAAGGATGAGGCTAATGCTTAGTTTACAGAATTCTGAAGATTTTCTAGAAAAGAGCCAAGATATTATCTTACCTAATAATAGACAAACATGTAAATTGACCATACCTCCACTATGCCCACCAGCCAATCAGGAGTGACATGCAAATGAACCCAACAAAGATGGAGGTTAATTTACATACACAGACATCTAGCGGATGGGGGGTGGGGTGGGGAGGTAGACTGGTTGCTTGCATTGTTGCCATGGCGACGACACAGGTGTTTTGCCCCACCCCCAGTCTCTCAGAGCTTCTGGGCAGCATAGGAAGGCAGGGCCAGAGTGAAAGCAGTGCCAGCAGCCAGGGAAAGGAAGGCCCATTCTAGCACAAATCTACCTGCATCAGGCTTCTAGTCTGATATAAAATTGTCCCTGAGTAGATAAAATCACTTCTGATTCAGTGGCCACAATGTGAACCCGTGGAATCAGTTTAGAAACAAAACAATACCCTGAGTCCAAAATGGCCTGGGTCGTATTGCACATCCGAGAGCCTGTTCTAACTAGGGAGGACCTGGATCTCGGGCTACGTGCAACCAAATGGCTAACCTCAGTGAGGTGAGGGTCAGCCAGGCTGAGAACAAGGTGGAGAGAGCTGACGGATAAGCTCCCTCAGCCTCTGGATTCATCAACATCTGGAGCTTAGGGAACCTGTGAGTCCTGCTGATTATGACCTGCAGGTTGGGGGGGAGGGGAGTAGTTATTTGTTTGTTTGTTTGGTTGGGCACATAGTGTTTTTAAATAGATAAAATGCTAGTATTTGCAGATGAAAGGACAACCCCAAACCAGAATCTGTGGCTTCAGAAGATGTGGTCCTCAAGGCCTGCCCCCACAGGTCGTGTGGGTGGGAGCTGAGAAGTGCCTCTCCTTTAGACTGAACGTGCTCTTCTGTTCTTGCTCCACCCTTGAGTTGTGACACGTTTCCAATGACAAAATCTTCCTTTTGTGGCCCTGCCGGTGTTGCTCAGTGGTTGAGTGTCCACCCACTCGCCCAGAGGTCACTGGTTTGATTCCCAGTCAGAGCACATGCCTGGGTTGTTGTGGGCTCAATCCCTAGCATGCAGGAGGCAGCTGATGGATGTTCCTGTTTCCCATTGATGTTTCTAGCTCTCTTCCCTCTTTCTTCCTCTTTCTCTTAAAAGGAAAAAAAAAAAATACTTAAAATTTTTTAAATCTTTCTTTTGAGAAAATTGAGGTGATTTTGCTACTTAAGGTTATTCTGAATCTTCTAAGTACAAGTGATTATGAAACAAATGTCTGATGTCTTCTATATTACTTTCATGGAGTCCCACCTCCAAGGCCCTATAGTCTGCTTTTCATGAAGTCTTAAAAAGATGAGCTGTACTGACTAGGGTCAGAGGGTAGTAACACTAATTTTGGAAGTGCCACTTAGCAGTAATGTCCAGGAGATGAAAACCAGTCCAGCTCTGCAGTCTCCACAGTCATATACTAATGATAATTAGCCATTCCTTAAATTAAAGCCTCATACTTTATGTGACTTTTATTTCGGTCTTTCTAGAGCTATCTTGAAAATGAGCAGGATTTTATGACTTTGTTTTGTATCAGTGAAAGGAATTGCCCATCACTATTATTAACATTTAAAAAATGAGAATAATGTGATTATAGATATTAACAGAGCACAATGCAGGTCAGATGTGAATTTGCACCTTTGATACCTCTTTACCCGTTTAAAAATATTTACTCTGAGGGTATCATCTAGGTATTACCTCCATGGAGGGAATGGCTGAAAGTATTATATTCCATGGAGTGCAGGTGTCTTCCTATCCACTACCACATACTAACAAGTGGGGCGGTGTCTAGTGATCATACACATAGAATATAGAAGATTAATAGGTAAAGTCCAGGTCTCATGAGTTAATATCAGCGATGTTGAAGTCTTGCCTTGTCTCATGCAATTTCTTGTTTTCTAGAGTCGTCTGTGTCGGCGGAGACGGTTCCGCCAGCGAAGTAGCCCACGCGCTGCTCCTCAGAGCTCAGCACAGTGCCAGCCTGGAAACAGACCGCATCCTGAGCCCTGCCCGAGCCCAGCTGCCGCTCGGGGTGATACCTGCAGGCAAGGGAGCGGCCACGGCTTTGCTAAACGGACCCTCTCCTTCTCCCCTTCCACCCTCCCCCGTTTCACTTCCCAACCTAGACAGGGGAATATAGAGTTAAACACGTAGACTCTGAGTCTGAGAGACCCGAGCTTGGCATCTTCACTAGCAAGGACGTGAGGCTTGGACAAGTTATTCAATATTTTTGAGCCTCATTTTTCGAATCCATAAAAGGGAGGCAACCCACATAATAGTCACATCAGTACAAGGTTATTAAATTAGGAGGTTTACTAGTATGCAGAGAGTTGGATACATAGTGAGCCAATCGATAAATGGGATTGCTGTTATTCTACCTTTCCATGCGAAGGTCCAGTGAATACACGGTCCCAGATCATGAAATTTCAAAACAAGACCACTCCAGCCAAACTGCAGATAACTTCATGTGAGGGAAAGTATGGAAACCCCCCTAATCAAAGAGCACACGGATAACCTGGACAACACCGAGAGGATTTATTCTGACTGCTGCTTCTCTAGCAACTAGAACAGAATAGAACATGACAGAGCGAACACTCAATAGCTACGTTTATTAGGTGAAGGAATATAATGGTGATATTATAGAGTAAGCAGCACTTGAATTAGGCCTAAAAATGGGTTCAATAGGATCTGGCCTGAAAAAAAAAGAAGAAAAAAAAAAAGAAGAAAAAAAAAGAGAATGGATTTTGCCTGCAAAAGTAAAAAATATGCCAAGGCAAAAACCCAGGAATGTTGAGGAATAGAAAATGGATCATTTGTGGGGTGATTATTGTATGAAAATAGGCTCAAAATATGGTGGCTCCTGGATGCCATGGGAAGATGTCAGGATGGTATTTGATAAATAGGAGGGAACAATGGGAAATTCAGAGCAAAGAAGCCACCTGCTGGGAGCCATTCTAGGATGATTCCTGATCAGGGGAAGGGAGCAGGAGAACATGGGGGTCAGAGGCAAGGAGAACAGCCGGAGCACATAGGCACCCAGAAGGGAGGAACACACAGGGATCTAGGAGGGAGGAGCACACAGGGATCCAGAGAGAAGAAAACATCTTTCTCGAGTTTATGATGTTATGTGAGTCACTCCTTAAAAATACTGAACATACAATAGTAAAGGAAAGTGATTATTTCTTTTCATTAAAAAAAAAAATCACACATTTCTCTAAAGAAAAGCAGAAAGAATTACTTTTTCTATGAAAATAGAAATAATGTACATGATTGAGAAAAATCAGTCCTTTTGATAATCACATTCATTTAGTATAGATTTCAGTATATTCAGCATTGACAAAGAACAAAAGATATTTCAATGTCCTTTTAGAGTATAAAGTTTGTTATACAAACAAGAATTTAAAAGGCTACTTGGATATACCCTGATTAATTGTCAATCATATAGAGAAAAATCTGTGGTAGTCTTTAAGAAAAAGAGAACAAAACCTCAATTTTATAAAGGAGTAGTACTAAGTTTTATGCTTTTTAAGCATATCTCTGGTTTTGAAAGCATTTTTTTTGTATACACTGGCCATCTACATACTCATGGTTTAGAATAGGGGTGTCGAACTCAATCAGAGAAGGGGCCAAAATCTAAAATCCAGCCTAAATCGCGGGCCGAATGGTTTACTGAACAGTCATAAACTGTCATTGTGATGGAAATGCAGCGGAGTGCAGTGATGACAGCGCGGTGCAGGCCACAGCGCGGTGCGGGCCACATTGCAAGGCCTGGCGGGACGGATTTGGCCCGCGGGCCTTGTGTTTGACACATGTGGTTTAGAAGATACAGCCTGTTTCCCCAACGCTGGTCATTGTACAGGACTTGCAGCGTGTGGATCCCATCTAACGGGAGGAGGAAGGCACGTTAGGATGTGTTTAATGGGAGGACCCCATGCCTACTCAGGGCTTTGGCAGCAGCAGAACAGAGCGAGGTGGGAAGTTTGCAAGCTGAACACAGAAGACAGTTTGCCTTCGAAGCCATTTGCCTCCTGGAGAGAGAGACCCGGAGCGAGGGTGTTTAGTAAATTACTGCACCGAGCCAGCAGACTGAGCTGCTGAATTATGATCGGACTCAGATGGATCAGATGTGGAGAAGCCTGTGTTTGAACTGCTGGCCATTAGCAATGGTGTTTGTTGCTATGGGAACTGGTGCTAAGGAACTATTACGGAGAGATTTGGATGAAAGGGTGTGCCTGTGTGAGGTGGGGGAGAGGACAGGGGAAAAAGCTTGAGTGGACATAAAAATAAGCAAAGCAATCGAGTTGTTGTAAAACAAGGCTCTATCCACATACTGATGGCTGCAAACCATATCTTCCTATAGAATTCACATAAATAAATTCATGCTTTCCAATTAATTTGAGGAAAATTAAGTATTGCCAAGAGACTGTTAATTTCTATGATATTTCGGGCATAGAACCAACGTGTAGGTGCAGCTTTCCTGAGAATTTTAGATATGCTTGACTAGGAAGTCATTACATCACATTTATCTGTTTAGATGTGGGAGACATTAACGGCCTTATGAATATTCATGGCATCTGGTTAATTAAGTTAATTGTTCTGCAGAAGTGCTTGCACTTCCAAGGACAATTTTTTTCCTTTTTTTTTTTTTTTTTTTTTTTTTTTGCCTCCTTGGCTTCTGCCTGGAGCTCCCATCAGTCATGCTCTACATGGACCCCTACTTCTGTCCTCACTCTGTAGTGGGCACATTTTAACAGGTTTGGGGAGGTGGTGGTGAGTGAGCCAAGTTTGCTGGTAATGTTATGAAGAAGAATTTTTCAGGTTTATTAAAATGTTTACGGTAAGGTAGACCATTTTTAGTTTTTGTGAGGATGCTAAAATTACACAGTTATTTATGTGGGCAGCATGTTCTTTTAGCATGTAGACAACTCTTCAGATGAGTCACATTTTGTTTCAGCACACTGTACTCTATCTTTTGGATTATCAAAAAAAAACACAAAAACAAAAAACACAAAAACATATAGAGAAGTCTAGAGTTTTACAATTTTGCATCCACTTTCCTCATGAACACCTCTCTCCCCGCCTCCATGGACTTCATTTATTTTTAATTTTTAAAAAATCCTCTCTTAAGGATATGTTGTTGATTTTAGAGAGAGAGGAAGGGAGAGGAAGAGGGAGAGAAGGAGGGAGAGAAATATGGATCAGTTGCCTCACATACACACCCTGACCAGGGAACCAATATTTAACCTGAAAATATGCCCGGATCAGGAATGGAACCTGTGACCTTGTACAGGAAGATGCTACAATCAGCATCTGGCAGGGCTATTATTTTAATTTAAAAAAATATTTTTTCAACTACAGTTCACATTCAGTATTATTTTGTATTAGTTTCAGGTGTACGGCATAGTGGTTAGACAATCATATACTTCACAAAGTGTTCCCCCTGATATTCCCAGGAACCCCTGGCACCATGCATAATTACTACAATATTATTTCTTTTTTAATATAGAGCCTACAACACTTTCTTAAGGACTAAGGTACAGGTTAATTAGAATGGAAGATGACAAATAATTTTCTGACTTTGGTCATGCTTGTTATCACTGCCAAGTACTATGGAATTAAGGGCAAGTTGCAAAGTTGAAAAGCCTTAGAAGACATAAAAATAAAAACAGTGATCTCTAGCACTCAAAAAACATTTGTGCTTGGGCATGCTTAGCATACTTGAAACTCACAGGGAGTAAACAGGCTTTATTTTCTTGAGTCATGATATGTGTCATTCTCTATTGCACATGACAACTTTACATTATGCTTTTTAATAGCCTTTCTAGAGGAATGCTTTTATGGCCATTCCTAATTAACCATGGTAATGGAGGGAATGTGTTTCATGGAGTACTGTAATCCATTGATAATCCTAAATATCTCCCTCTAATTATGTGGCCTCCTCAAAAATCTTCACCATAAATCTGACTGGGAAGCAAAATAGACTGATCTGTTCCTCCCCTGTCCTCTGCCTAGTCCAGACTCATTAGCAATAAGACTGCCAAAGGGCAGGCAGTGAGGGTTAAAAAGGTCTAGGTATTTGACTCCCAGGCAAAGGTCCACTGAGTAACAGGTGGACCTTTCGTTCTAGATCACTTGTTCTCAAACCTTAGGGTGCATACAAATCAACTCGAGAACTTGCCAAAACAGGGATACCTCCCTGGGCCTTCCTCCCAGACATTTCCACTTCCATGGGTTGTAGGTGGAACCCAGATATTTGCCTTTTTAAGAAGCTCCCAAGTAGTGCTGGTGCTGCTGATCCCTGGGCCTTTTATCCTGGGAGTGCCTCTCTAGGTTAGTGTAGGTTTACATAACCCGAGGCTCTTGTACAATGCAGACTCTGACTTGGTCGGTCTGGAGTGGGGGCTGAGAGGAGATCTTACTAAGCCCCAGGTATTGTCTTCTGCTGCTGGACCCTGGGCCATATTCCGAGTAACAAGGGTCAGAGCATACCTTGCCTTTTGCTCAAGCAATTGGAGCCAGTTTACCAGCTGGTTAAGGTGGAGTTCTCTTTGCACTGGTATTAGTAGAGGTCTGGAAATCATTAATGATTAGAAAGATCCCTAATGATTATTATTATTTTAATGATGGTCTGTTACCTCAGCTTTTCCATCTGAGCAGCTCAAGCACACATAGGTTCAAAGTGACGCAAATTGGAGAGATTAACGAGGGATCACACAGTACTATTCCTGATTCACCAATCCAGGGACAAACCTTTGCCTTGAAAGCCGCAGAACATAGCACATCCATGTTTTCACAGCCCGCAGCTTTTATTCTCATATTCTTTAATTAAAGAAAAATTGTAGCTGCTTAATTTTAAATGCTTTTTGCCTTGTGGGAATGGCAGGGGCTAGCTGGTATTTTCCCCTTCAAAAGCAGACCTTGACCCCAGGATCTCAGAGACATAAATGCCATAGGAGCCTGACTTGAGAGAGCTCTTTTCTTCTGTAGGTAAGAAAAATTCACGTGGTTTTTAAATTATCTTAATGATTATGACAATCAGAAGTCTATACTATCTCAATACAGATTTTCAAACCAAGGCAAAGACCATGGAATTAAATATTTTCTTCATGTAGGATACCGCTTTCAGATAAAGGGGAATCCCTGTTTGGGTGAGAGCTTATCTTGGAGATTTATTAATTGTATTTAAAGCATGCCCTTTGGACTTCGTAGTGATCTTATGTGCTTTTCTTAGTTGCTGTTGGGACTTTTATTTATTTATTTTTTTAATGTATTTATGCATTTGTCTCTGCTCTCCAGAAACACCCTTTTGCTGTTGTTGCTCCTTTTGGTATGGAAGTTAGAAGCCCATTTATTCAAGCTGGATATAGTAGTCTTTGATATAGCTAGTAGTTTGGGTAGAAAATAGACATTCATAATGGAAAAGGCTATAAGTAAGGAGATACTATAAACGATTTTCTAATCTTTAAGTTGTTTGAAAATTAAAGAATCATTCATTTGATGTGCATCTGAGCTGAGAATGGCAACAAATTTCCATTAATTTGTCATCTGAATATTTCATAATGACATCCACACAAAGAGCAAATGATTGCTTTGTGACCTAGGCTACACTGACTGTACATGTTTTAAAATTGACTTGGCAGGCTCTACCAACGTGCTGGCACATTCTCTCCATGGAATCTCTCACGTGGTAACCGCAACTTTGCACATTATAATGGGTAAGAATTGTTTCAAAGGAGTGAGTTTTACAAGCAAGTTTCTATATTACTTAAGGGAGGCTGCTTTATTCCTGTCAGACTTGCCTTAGGAAAAGACAGGGTCTTTATCTCTTATAGCAGAGAAAGGTTGAATTAAAACCCAAAGGTCAATTAGGCAACACTTCTCTGTTTGGACTGCCTGTCTTTTCAGAATAGAGATGCTATAAAGAGCAGTAAGTAAAGTTCGCTATAATATATTGATAGAAAAAAAATACATTTTCATATGTTGTAAGGTCATGATTTTGTAACCAGGTCAAGAAAATCCATGCACACTATTCTAGTATATCAGATATTGTTGTTGGACTGTACCAAGTCTCTAGGGCTAGCACTATGTTATTAAAAGAAGAAAAAAAAACCACACATGATAATGCTTTTCAATCACTGTACATCCACTCGACCTTTTATTATCCCAATTGATGGAAAAGATAAACACTTGGATAAATGCAATGCAGAACTCCTAAATCTGTTTATTTTTCACGCATATTACAACATCACATCCTAGCCACGCTTTATATGAAATAGCTATAAGCTGCAAAATCTGCCACTTTGTTTCTTTCCTAGAACCTGAAAAAGTTGCCAATGGCAATTCCAGTAGTTGTAGGTAAAGATGGAGAGAAAGCAAAGGTATTTACTATGGTATAAAGTAGCTTGAGATTTAAAAGTAAATAAATGTGCTCTTCTGTGTTTGCCATTTTGACAACTGGCGCTCTTGCACAGTTGACTAACATTTAATATAATATTCAAGGGCACATACAACCCGTCGATGTCTGCACCTTCAGCACCACTGGCAAGCTTCTTCGCTTTGGGTTCTCGGCCATGTTTGGCTTTGGTGGAAGGACTTTGGCTCTGGCAGAAAAACATCGATGGATGTCCCCTACCCAACGAAGGGATTTTGCTGTAATTCAGGCACTGGCAAAACTTAAGTAAGTCTTTTTTTTTCTTCTCTTTCTTAAACCAAAAATCTTCTATCTCAGAATCAGTGAGTGTTAATAACATATTTTGTTGTATTTTAGGCCAGAGGACTGTGAAATATCATTTTTGCCATTTAACAGCTCTCCAGATTTACAAGAAAGGTAAGTAGAAAGCTCAAAGCAACATCTATATCTGTATCTTTTTTTAAAGCATATAATAGTTTGATATAAACAGTTTGTTCGATTGTGACCTTTGGTTGCTTTTCTAGCGTACTAGTGAATAATATAGAATCATGGAGTCCTACAGATTCTGGTAGGCCATGTAGTTTGGTTTCTGTCTCCAGATACAACCATTAATTCATTCCATCCTTCCATCCACCCAACAGCTGTTTATTGAGTGCCTACTATATTTGAAGCACTTTGGATACATGAACCAAAAGGAAAAAAAAATAGACAAACAGAACCCATAGTTTCTGTCCTCATGAGAGTTGGCTGGGTGTGGAGTACAAATATTAATCAAAGTCACACAAAGGAAGTGCTGTAGTCTTTAAAAAAATGAAAATCATTTTTTACTGGTGATGCTACCTAGAAATGAATCAATGCAATATAATTTAGTAATGGAATTATTCACATATTTTTACTTACTGTCTAATATAAGAAAACATTTACTATATGTAACATAGGAGCCTATAATTTTCTCATATTTAATAGATGTTATTTTTGTCTTTATTTTTCCCCTTTGTCTTCTTATTTTTTAGAAGGGCACAGGGATCTCCCAAATCTGGTGAGTCTAAAAGCATCTCCTTGAGAACTGACCCAGGTTCTAGTACCATTTTGCTGTGGTGAGGGAAGGTAACTGTCTTTTTCATATCTTTAGACTGTAATGCTCAGTGGCAAATGATCCAGGGTCAGTTCTTGAATGTCAGCATTATGGCAATTCCTTGCCTGTGTTCAGTGGCACCTAGAGGTTTGGCACCTGATACCAGGTTAGTAAGTGTTTTTATTGAACCATTGATACTTTCCTATAATCCAAAATTTTCTTGCAGAATAATACCTACCCCTCCTTGCCCCAACTCTTGGCTACCTAGAATATTATGAAGAGGTATTCTGTCCTTGACTGTATAATATCAGAGATTTTCAGGAATTTGTCATCAGAATAAGTTCAGAACAGCTGTTATTTAGGTTTATCTACCAGTTGTTGAGAATATTGTATTTCATTCTGGTTTCCAATTTTAGTGCATACATAAATACCTGTAGCATGAAAAGCATGTATTTGTGTATATCTGATACCTCTAATCAAAAGAAACATTTTTATTAACACTTAATGAGAATAGTGATACATATGAATAAAAGTCTACTACCCACATTTTCTATAAAATAAGACATTTTATATATTGTCTTATAGATATAGCTATTTATTCATAAGATATAGATATTTCATCTCTTACACATTCTTTTCAGTAGTTGTCCATTATTGGTACGAAAATTTCTCTCCTTTTTCTGTAGAGCATAGAAGAAAAGATCATGAATGTTATATAATGTAGTCAAATCTAGATTTTCCCTGGAGGTGGAATAAAAGAATGACTAATGTACTTTGGCAATCTATAACATTATTGTAATGATTAGTTTCAACCTCCCTGCAAAATATTTAACTAGAATGATTATGAGTAAAAATGAAGCACATTAAAAAAATACTGTTTCAGTGTTGTTTATTTTTGGTTGGGAAGAGATGGCATGACAAGTCAAAGAAGCACTGAACCCTGAGGAATAAGAGCTCTGGTTCTGTGATCGTGTGTGTGTGTGTGTGTGTGTGTGTGTGTGTGTGTGTGCGCGCGTGCGCGCGCGCCTCTGATCAAATCACTTAAGCTTGGGGTCTTCTTTTCCTTTTATGTAAACTGAGTGAATGATGGGTAATCTCCAATGTTCCATATAGCTCTCACCTGAGCTTCCATAAGATTTAAAGAGCTCTTTTTTTTTGTTGTTGTTGTTGTTATTCTTGGAATAACTTTGTAGTATTTCCACTGGAATTGAGCCAGAAGTCATTCACATGCGTTTCTGCAAATGACCTTCTAAAGCTACAAACATTTGCGAGTGGCTTTTCTGGCACTGAATCACACATGCTAAATTTACAGTCTCTTTTATATCGAACCAAACAGCTAGGCAAGATTAAAATGCTCGGTCATTTAACCGAACATGTGTGGCAGCATTTCGTATCATCTACCTAAGGGCCACTTTGATTTAGTTTCCTGTGTTACTTAGACCTGCCCATAAAGAAATATTTAAATCAACGTCAGATTTTAGAAAGTGTTGAGCTATTTGTTATACCACTGGTACATATTAACTATTTTACAATACATCTTTAACAAACATGTGGTTTCACATGTAGAATCCTTAAGTGAATACATGGGATTTTAAATTGCATCTTGATATATGGATAGGGTGCATGATGGTTCATTTTATAAAAAGCTCTTGCTGAGAAGACAATTGTTTAATAAAAGCATTTTGAAAAACCAAAGTGCTTGCTGAGAAGGAAGGCAATTGTTTAATAAAAGCATTTTAAAATGCTGTGTGTCATTTAAAAATAACGGCAAAATATGATCTAAGAATTTTAAATAAATTTAATGTGATGATGATTTATCTCTCTTGCCTAAAACTTCTAGTAAATGTTGTATGTTTTAGAAAGATTGATATAGAGTCAATTTTTATGTAATCTCTTAATAAACTTAATGTCAAATACAAATATTTAATTTCAGGTTAAATAATGGAAGTATGGCTCTTATAATTGCACGGAACACCTCTCGACAGGAATTTATAAAACACCTGAAAAGATACGCCAGTGTTAAAAATCAGGTATGGGAAATTCTTTTTGTTACTTATATGCAAAGCTATTAAGCATGGACAGTGATATGTTGCAAGAGTTGACATCAAGTCTTGCCTCATAAGAAGGCTTTATTTTCTTCCAAATACATTAACTTTTTTGTCAACCTGTACTTCCTTCAAATTTTGAAAAGTATCCACTAGTACTACAATATAGATTGGCCTTTTTTTTGAGCTATGGCTTGGTGGTTATATATTTGTGTCTTCTTGGTTTGTTTGGGTTTTTGTGCAAAAATAGGACATTTAGTGTTATATTGAAATTATGAAGTGAATTAAGGTTAAAATTACCTACTAGGGATGCTCTTCAGAATGAGAAGTAGTGAACCACCTTTAGGTTGAACTGGATGTTCATATATATGAACAATGGTAGCGCACTTTGGAAACCATCATTTGCGGGGTGATCCTCTTACCTCCCCATCTCTGTGTACAGTCCACGGAAAGCAAAAATTCCATTTCAGGTTCTTTTGACTCCATCCTATATCTGGACAGTTCTCACTGTCCATAATTTTCTGCATTCACATTTACCATCATTTTTGGGAGGGACTTTAAAACCCTTAAATGCTAGTGTTTCCCCTAAAGGGCCCCTTCCGTGGTTCCTGACACAAGTCAGTGGCATCCCTCCACCTGCCCTGGAGTTACTCTGACTCCTCGGTCTTCCTCATTCCTCGCAACCCACCCCCCATGCAGGTCTGTTTGTTCCCCTCTGAATGTTTCTGAAATTGCTCCTTCTCCTCACTTCAAAACTCATTCCTTCTTGCTTCTAATAGCCTTCTTTCTGGTCTTCCTTTTCCCTGCTCTTGTCTTCCAAACCTCCTTCTAAGGGGCTTTTCCTAAAACACACATCTGATTTCTCTTCTGCTTAATTCTGCAATGCCTTTCTCACCGTCACCAGGCTGACATCTAATGTCCGCAGCAGGTGCCTGGCCCTCTGTGTTCTGGCCTTTGCCCACTGTGGCCTCACCTCTTTACCATCTTCCACCAGAATTCCTGTTTCTGTCCTCATATCAGTTTGCTAGAGCTGCCATACCAGTATTACAGACTGGGAGGCTTAAACGCAGAAACTCACTTCTTCACAGTTCTGAATGGGAGAAGCCCAGGAGGTGGGGTTTCTCCCGAGGCTCCTCTTGGCTCGCAGAGGGCTGCCTTCTGGCTGCACCTGCAATGCTTTTTCCTGTGTGTGTGCACATCCCTGGCATCTCTCTGCGTCCCAGTTTCTTCTTCTTCCAAGGACACCAGTCCCATTGGATTAGTGCCCACCTCAAGGACCCCATCTTTAACTAATTACACCTGCAGAGCCCCTATTTCCAGAGAAGATGACATTCATAGGTAGTAGGAGTTAGGACTTCCAGATACCTTTCTGAGGGACACAGTTTAGCCTATAATAGCCGGTTAGGAATGACTCATTTCAAGCTCATTTTTACAATGAATGACTATGTAGACAATGAGTGATTAAGGAGAGATATTCACAAGTGCACAGTATGTGGGTTGTCTGTAAGGCTGTAGCCTGGGATGGGAAACCTGAGGCAGAGGCGTAAGCATTTTCAGAGAACTGCTCGGGGCCCTCTAATCAGAACAGCCTTTGCCACCATATAACCCCAGCATAGTCCACTGGAACCCAGTGTGTGATCCTGTATAAACTGGAAAAATCTACTGCGCTGTGTTTTCTACTAGTAAAATAAGGATGTTTGGAAAAATTTCAGTTTTCTGTCAGCTTCTAAATTTCTGTGCTTTATTGAGATTTATAGGTGGATGTGTAGATAATATGAAGAATAAACCTCATGTCATTTATCTGGAACCTAAAATAAACGAGTACTCTGCATTTCTGCTAGAGTAGGTAGGTTATTTTTTCACTAGTTTCTGTAAACAAGAAAAAATTGAAATTTGAAATTTACACTATTCTAAACACAATTAATTATCTTGCAACTTGTGGCCACCTTGAAAGAGGGGATGAAGCAGGCAAACACCTGTGAAACATTAGATTGAATTTTTTTTTTTGCCTTCATAAGTTTAAGCCTAGGTTCTTCTGAATTAAATTCCAAGTGTAAAGCTTACACTAGACTTTGCTTTATATCAGCTAAACTAGTTGACAAGTTACTAATCAAGTCAGTGGATTATATAAATCTTCTGTATCAATAGACCAGTACTAAAGATTGTCTTTAATTGGAAATTCTACAATATCATTACTGTATACAATTTCATAGAGATTTACTGTTTTGTTGTAAAACAAGCTTGGCCAGCTGCTAGATCTAAACGAGGTAGGAAAGCTTTAGAAGGGTTCCTTCTTCCAGAGAAACTGGGAAACCCTGGCTATAATTAGTTTCAAAGCATGCATGTTGATCTTTGCTTGCAAGAGAGAGCAGAGTGAACTTTCTTAATGTGTACTAGCAGTTAGGGAGAAAGGAAACACCCTGATTATATGCATTTTTAAACAGTATTACAGATGTCTCCCTTTTTCTCCTTTTTGCCCCATCTCAGACCTTCACCATGCTATTGTCTGTGTCCATTGGTATGCATAGATATTCTTTGGTTAATTTCTTCCTGTCCCCTCCCACCATCTCCCCTACCGAGATCTGTGATTCTATTCTATTCATCCATACTTCTGGACCTATTTTGTTTGTCAGTTTATTTTGTTCATTATATTCTATATGTGAGTGAGATCATGTGATATTTGTCTTTCTCTAACTGGCTTAGTTTGCTTAGCATACTTCTCTCCAGGTCCATCCATGCTGTTGCAAAGGGTAAGAGCTTCTTTTTTCATAGTCACATAGTATTCCATTGTGTAAATGTACCACAGCTTTAAAAAAAAAAAAAAACTTCATTGTTGAAAAAATCTTTATTGTACTTTTATGTATGTACATTTATATATGTCCCCTTTCTCCCCATTGACCCTTTCCCTCCCTGCCCCCCCCCAACTCTATTGTCCAAGTCCTGGGTTATGCATATATGCATACAAGTTCCTTGGTTGATCTCATCCTATCCATTCACCCCTCCCTTCTCTCTGAGATTCCACAGTCTGTTCCATGCTTCTATGTCTCTGGATCTATTTTATCAGTTTATGTTGCTCATTAGATTCCACATATGAAATCATGTGATACTTTTTCTCTTGACTGGCTTATTTCACTTAGCATAATACTCTCAAGGTCCCTCCATGCTGTCTCAAAGGGAAAGTGATTCTTTTTTATTGCAGCAGAGCATTCCATGGTGTAAATGTACCACAGCTTTTTAATATATTCGTCTACTGATGGGTATTTCAGGATTCTCAGAATATATTCCCAGAAGTGAGGTTGCTGGATCACATGGCAGATCCATTTTTAATTCTTTGAGGAACCTCCATACTGTTTTCCATAATGGCTCTACCAGTCTGCATTCCCGTCAACAGTGTATGAAGGTTCCCTTTTCACCATATCTTTGCCCCACTTGACGTTTGTTGATGATTGCCACTGGCGGGTGTGAGGTGATACCCCATTGTCATTTTGATTTGCATCTTTCTGATGATTAGTGATGTTGGAACATTTTTTTCATGTCTACTGGCCATCTGTATGTCATCTTTGGAGAAGTGTCTATTGAGGTCCATTTGTTTTATTTAGTTCAATTTTCCATTCGTTGAGACTTACACTGTTGAAGAAGTAAAAGTTTATCCAAGGAATAAAACCAGTGCATACAGTCTAGAGGAGGAGGATCAACCACATGAAACTGCCTCAGAAAACAGGTTCCCCTGGAATGTAGATGGCGACTTAATGGAAGTTACATCAGAGGTCCACATTAAGTAAGTCTAACGATTTCACTGCCTTCTATGTCCACCAGTAGACACAAAACTGCTAGTATAATGGAAGCCTTCTTTCTTTAACTATCAAAGCAAGCAATTGGCTAGATTTTTTTTTTATTATAAAATCAGGGAAGGATAAACAGATAAATGTATAATTTTAATAAAGTATGACTTTACACTTATTCATCAATTGTTTTGGAGAGTTAACACATTTTCTTTGGTTATAAGTCTACACTATACAGACAATGCATGTCTACAATTTCCATTTTGAATTTGAAAAGAGTCAAAAGTTTAAGCTTTGGTGACACTGAGTAGCAGACTACAATTTAATCTGTATTCGGCAGTTCCATGTAATTTACATAGCATGCTAACAAGAGCAACTGGTGAGCTCTCTATCTGTACAATTGCCTGCATTTTACAAAAACAATGGAGAATATTAGTCAAGGCTTTATACTAAGTGAGTGCTGATTTATTACACATCCTGCCCCAGTTTCTCTAGATTTCATCTCTTACCATGAATGTGTATGTTTTTATTGGCTGTCATTAGACTTGCACTTGGTATTAAGCACTGTACTCAATTGGTATATGTGTGAAAAATAACAGAATGATAGGTTGATAAAATAATCAATTACACATATTTTATTCTTTGCAGATTACACCCAAGACTTATCAATCTTTATGGTGAAAGCATGGAAGAAATGAATGATTCCAAAGTAACATGTAATTGTTTATAACAAACATATGAACTAACATTTTAATATGAATGGACATATTTTAAACAGATATCCCAACAGAAAAAAAAATATTTTTTAAAGAAATTAAAATTGCTTGCTACTTTTGACATTGCTAAAAATTAGTACTGAGGGTTTAAATATAACAAAAATTATTTAAATTCTGATTTTTTGAATGTCTTTATATCTACTTTTAACCTGGATAATTCCAAAGTGAAATAATTTACATTCTTTCATTTTTCAGGATTTGAGTCCATCAATTCTGATGTTAAATATCCTGTAGTCTGGTATGAATAGACCACAAAGTTCATGTAAGAATGCCCTGATTTTCCTAATGAGGTACCTGTCCAATGAGCTTAAATTTCAAAATTATACAACTCAATCTAACCAGAAATAGTACTAGTATTACTTTAAAAATTTCTCTAATAACAACTTCCCCAAAAAGGACTCCCTCCTATGTCTAAGTTGTTATGGTACCAATTTTGTGAATATTCTCTGAAAGTTGAAAATTCATAGTTTATTAAATTTTATTTTAAACTATGCAAAATGTCTTAACTAGGCAGAATCCGGCCCATTAGGGTACTGTGCTCTCCTCTTGCTCCTGAGAGTCATGTGTACTGGCCATTATAACATTGTTTTCAATAGCACCTGAAATGCTGTCATTTCTGAATAGGAAAAGAACCAAATTTAAATTTCCTCAGAGATCATCCTTGAGAACGAAATTCTAAATTTGAGCTTCATTTTTCATCAGTGATTCTAGGCATTCTCCTGAATAGTTTCTATTAAAAAAAAGTATAATTTTAATATTATAAATGTAATTAGGTGGTATTAGCTCACAGGTTTCATGTTCATGCATCTCTGTGCATTTTACACTTTCCATCTATCACAGACTGTAGGCTTGTGATGGATAACTTACACAGCAATTAGGTAGTCTGAGGAAGATGGCTTTTGGCAGGGACTTCCTATAAATATTTCCTATGGACTATTTTCCATAATAGTAGAGACTGACCTCTAATTTATCTATTTGATCACATCTTGTAATAGATTTTCAAAATTTGGCCACAGTCGTCTTTTATATATATTATAAAGACAGATTTAGCCCAGTTCAGATGAAATTATATTCTAAGATCAGCATCTAGTTCATATGTATGAATAAATAATAGAAAAGATTATCTTTAAATGTCTTAAAATTTGAAAATATAAATTATATAATTATAAAAAGGATTATAAAAAGGATTCTAAAATAACCCATAAAAATTTAAAATGTTTCACTGATCACTAAAACATATACCTTGGGAATTTCGATGTTATATTAACTGGATATAAGCTAAATCTATTTAAAAATTATAAATTATGTTTCCCCAATTCCATGCAGAAGAGACTGATCTTATAAGCATTTAACACTTACATATGAAAAGAGTAATATCCAGTTACTATTTACAGAGTATCAGTATATTTCTCCTTAATCACTGTTTTTACAGAGCTTTGATTTTTTAAAAAGTATTTGTGAGGTACAGTTTTCATATTTTACATTTACCAGTTAAAGTGCAACATTCACAATCTGTTTCAGAATATAACTTAGAATTTTAAGTACTGTTGTTTTGTAAATTGTAAATAAGAAAATTGACAAATGATAGATTTTTAAAATTTACTCTGGGGTATCTTTGAAAAAATTGTTACAGGAGAGACTTATGGATTTATACCTATGTGAACATATATGTATATTTCAAAGTTATGTATATACAGAAAGAAGAAATCCATAGTTTTATAAACAACAATTACCCAGAAGTCATCCCATTAAGTTCAAACCAGTGTATTAAAGTTCAGTCAGAAGTTTGTTCTTCGGGTCCATTAATCATAGACTGTGAGTGGTGGTTGATCAAAGCCCATAGGAAATGTATTACAAGTAAAGGGCTTAAAGGTAAAATGCTTTGTTTAAAAATATTCAGCAGAATTTTTTCAAAGAGCTGTTTCATTCATTAGGAAACAGGTCTTTGAAAAATTCCTGCTGAATATTTTTAAAGAACATAATTCAAACAAGTCTCGAAGATTATTATTTTGCTGAAGCAAGCACATATCTTGAAGTCCAAGACTTCTTCAATCAAGTTTGTGATTTAATTCAGATGCACTTTTATTTCTGAATATCTTCAAGGGATTATCTTTAATGTAATGTGTTAGTGTTTTCTATCCACTTAACTGAAACAAGACCTTTTTCATTTGCCTTAAGACATAGTATGTCACGAGGTTATGAGTAAAAAGTACATAAAAGAACTCTGGGCAAAGCAAAGTTCATGGCTTCTTGTAAACAATGTCTTAAATTCTTTAGATATACCTGAGTCTTGGCTTTCTCAGTTTAAAAGAAGTCTTTAATCAGCATCATCATTGCTTTTACTGTTAATGTAATTCCAACTGTCTCTTCTGTTTTCTTCTTGTAGGATGGATTTGTACTGTCTTTTAAAGAAGCCAGCCTGAAAAAATATTATTGTATAATCACTAGTGCGCAGTTATTACACTCATAAAATATCTAGACAATCAATGGCAACTTAACATCGGTGATATTTTTCTATGATTTTAAGTAAAACAATGTATAACAAAATCAAATTTTTCATAGGCTAATTGACACCATTTGAGGACCTGCTATGCTAAAGTTCTTAAACTGTGTCCCATGGAGTCAGTAAAAATTAGTTTGGAAAATATGGGATTAAAGAGCAATTACGGCAGGACTTACTAAAGCATGTGTGAAATCTCTAAAACTGACATTCAACATAATGTGTGGTGTTTCTCAAATGTTTCTTTGAAAATGAGTTATCTTTAAAGAAGGCATATTTTTCTACAAGTTTGATATGAAAGTTAGGAGAAATATGGTGAAATCAGTACTGTACAGTCACGTGAGAGGCACAAATTGGCTTTAAGAAAGTCAAGGGTGGCGTTTTGAGAGAGTTAACATTGGTAATTATTAAAGAAAGGCTTACCTTCCACATAACATATGAAATCAACAAAAGTAAAATAAGTCCAAGTATCAAGCTACTTGAAATAATCGATAAGGTCAAATAACGTGTGGGCCTTTGATGATGTAGTCCTTCGAGCCAAACCTACATTTTAACCAAAACAAAGAACCACCAGTTTAAGAGTTTGCTCCTATTTCCTTTGCAGCTCCCTCCTCCATCCCCAATAGTATTTAGAACTACCCATCTTATTCTCTTGCTGGTTCGAATATAATCACAGGAAATGCTGGTAACTGATCAGCAGAAACAGTAAGTACAATGGATTTTTTTTTTCTGTAGTTTTTCCTCCAATCCATCCTAAACTCCTTAAAAAGCTCACTCACTCTTTCCAGGTGTGGAAAATACCAACTCTCAGGAAAGTATTTCAAGCCCTCCATGATCTAGTAAAAAATTATTTTCCTGACTAACCACCCTAGCAATACTATTTTTCCTACAGTCTTAATGTTTCAGTTTAGCTTACGTGTGCAACACTGGCATCCTTGTTTAGTTCAATAATTTTTGGATTTGGCTCTGGAAAAGCTGTCGCTCTTATTTCAAACTTGAGTGCTGAAGTCTCATCCTGTTTAATAAATGAAAGATCTCTATTGATTCATAGTTTCATTTCATGAAGACATTAACAATGACTAATTTCTCATGATCCTTACCTACTATCTAGAAGTTTTCATAACTAATCTTCCCCAATTTACCTCACCATTTGTAATTAATTGCAAAGCTTACTTTGATTCTCAAGGCATGGTCTTGGTATTAATTTATATGGCACCATTTTGTTGAAATTCTTTTATTAAACATAGCCATGGCATGCAGATAACTTGATTTAAATATTATGTGTTAGTTTGTCGTGCATTTTCCCCTGGATATTGAATTTTTAACCACAAAATAAGACTTCCTTCACTTAATAAACCTTACCTAAAATTTATTTTATTTCTTTCTAAGTTGTGTTGTCATCTTGATGCTCTGATCAAATACACACAGTCTACCTAATACTGTAATGAGAAAATCTGGTACAAATAAGTTATAGCATTCAGATATCAAATCAATAGGTTGATGAACTCAGAGCTTTACTATTTAATGCAGAGACTTATAAGCGAGAATCTCTAGACACTAAGGACTTTTGAAATTGTATGCACAATTGAGGTGTTTTAAATACAATTTTACTTCTTAGCTTTATTAAATATTAGATTTTAAGCATAATTTAAAATAGTTTGGAAAGGACTTTAAGGTTATACAAAATGTTAAGGTAGTCAATTTCTTTGATTTAATCAAGGTCTATCAACAGTTGAACATACTTCCTAAAGAAAACATCTTAATTCTTAATTATCTATTTAATTACTCAAAACCATGTCATTTAAACAATGTATTCAGCTAAAGTAAGAGGGGAGAGATCAACCAAAGGACTTCTATGCATGCATATAAGCATAACCAATGGACACAGACACCAGGGGGACCATGACAGGGTAAGAACACATATGTTATACCTTCATCAATAAAGAAAAATAATTGAAACAGAAGTTTCACTCTAAATTTTTTTGTATTAATACCTTCTTAATTTGTTGAATGCTTCCCTACATACCATCCCACTTAGGTATAGTTTGCAGGTTCTGAATAGACTTACCATTTCTAAGATGGATGGCCGGCCTTCCAGCTGAATGTGAACACTGGCTTCTTTCCCACTTTCCATTTTCCCAAAATTGCATAAGAAATTCAAACAATGTGGGTCAGCTTTTGTGCAGAACTTGAAAGAATACCAAAAAAAGCTACATTAACATTTCAACTTTTTTTTTTTTTTTTAGAAGATGGCTAAAATAATTTTCATGGAATTTAAGATCTGTTTTTGTTAGTGGCATTTTAAAAATCTTACTTTAAACAATTTAAACAATGTTTGTTTTATAAAATAAAGTATTTGAACTGGAGCATGTGTTCTTATGAACCTAACCATCTGGGATAATCTGGGATAGATGTTGAAAAGAAAGACTCCTAATCAGAATTTTGCCAAGTTGGATGTTCTGTTTATTGTAAAAATTGAATAATTGGAATGCTAAGATTGCTTCTTCTTTTTTTTTTTTTCATAAATTCACTAAACTGAAAAGAGGCCAAGTTCTGAGTAGCCTTTGTGAAATGCGATTAAGAGAGCATGGAGAAATGCCTGGCTAGCACAGAATGGGCATTTGTCAGACAAATAATTAAAATGTCTATAGTTTACCCTGGGTCTATTGCAAATGTCCAACCATGTCTGTTCCTCACAGGCAAGAATATTCTTTGTTTCTATTCAAACCCAACTGAAGGTCAAACCCATTGATTTTAAGCATTTCAGTTCTGTATGTGGGAAAACAAGAACAATGAAAAACTGAAACTTACCAATAACCTCTTATCAGTCCTCGAAAAGAATTTATATATGTCTCTTAGGGCCTCCATTGCATCTTTTTTCTTTACTGATGTGCACATTCTTTGATAATTTTTAAAATGGCATTCTCCTGAACTAGTCTATAAAGATAGGAAGCAAGAAATGTGTTATGATTCAATATTGGAAGGAATAAAAGCTACATGGTTTTAAAAGTTCCAATAAAATGAAGTTCCAATTGCTTGATTACCTTTTCTAAAAATATCAAGTACTTCTGAAAAGTGTGAAAATATTTTTGACAGATTTATTTGGGACAGATTAAATCTCTGCAGTAAAAACACCAACTCAGAAAAATTTTAGAGTGTTGGATAGAGGTCCTAAACTAATCAAATAGCCCTAATCTTACAGAAATTAGGGCAATTTGAAAAATAGCATGAAATTTAACATTTCTCGGGCTTTAGACACCATGTCCTACCATCTAAATTTGGAATTCAAGTAAGATTTTTTTTTATAAATTAGATCTCAAACCCAGTTCATAGGCTTACTGATTGCTTGTCTTGAAACTGGGAGAGTAAAAGCAATTCTGATGGAATCAACAATATAAGAATACTGACTCTTAAACAGTGACTGGAGCATTCTTTCTTTAAAAAAGGCTGAAATACTAATTTTGTTCCCCAACAGTGGTCTAAAGTTTTATGGCAAATTCTATCAACCAAATTACTTCCACAGGTCCATGTCACAAGGAAATGTACTGAAATAGGAGAGCATAATTGTTACTGTGTACGTCAAATGCAGAGGTTCTATGCAATGTATAATATTCAAGGTGTTCTCAATGAATGCAGGGTGAATTTACAGCTGAGAGTAAGTGTGATTGAAGTTAACAGACATTTCAATTTCAGCAGTATTACTTACAATAAAGGAGGGAACAAATTTTTACCTGGACATCCAAAATGTTGAACAACTCATCAGTTTGGGGGATAAAAGAATTTGGGACCATTATTTCCACACTAACATTTGGAGCCATGCTAGGGCCATTGTTGATAACCTGATAAGAAGAAGGAAAAAAAATTAAACTTTTAAATGCTTTCATAAATGTAAGTACAGATATTAAATGAGCTCTTAGGTGAGCCCATCTGTATGAAACACTTCTTGTTGGCAGCTACACCGCAAAGGGAGACAGAATGTTGATAGTGAGAACAGAAAAAAATTTTGCTGAAAATAACAACCTTTTAGTTTTTACTGCCAGCTCTCTCCTTTTGCTCTTAATTAGGCCATAATGTCCAGGCAGATGTTCTATTTAGTCTAAAGAAAAGACATCAAGAATGTATATGTGTATGGCACATTCTGTATCTAAAATGCTATGACCAATTGGTCCTCATCCCTATCCCATCAGGTGGGAAAACATTTATTTGCCAGCTCAAAAAATGCTAAGAGGTGTTAGTCAACAATGTGCCCAATATAAAAATGACCAGAATTGGGACAAAACCCAGGTATTCTAATTTAAATCCTATGATGTTTTCACAAAAGTACTCTGTGCAGAGGGGATGTCAGCAGTAAGTGAATAAAATGTATTTTAATTCAGGGTTATTATAGTGCTGATACACTCAGAAAATCACAAAGGGGTAGGTTATTCGGTTTTAGAAAAAATTCAATAGGTTTTTAAAGAATAATGCATGAGGGAGTGATAGTTCATTATTGCTGATAAATTTGGGGATTGCAGATCTTTGTAAAAGGAAATTGGGCCAAAATGCTACCACCTGAAAGCTTCACTATAAAACCAATACAAAGTCAGAAATGAAATGTACCACAATACCTGAATGAAATAGCATGACTCACAGACTTGCAATACTTTTTTGAATGCATATGATATAAATGAAGTGTCCCTGGCTTTGGGACATATGGTAATTGCTCAGCCATGCAGGCACGGGGCAGTTTCAAAGGCAGCATCCAAACCTTTAGGCAAGTCTTCCTGATGCCTGTAAATAATCATTCTAACCTACAATACCTTCCATCCTTGTTTGCCGGATAACATTTAGACCTCCAAGAGTGTATTCATCCTTACTCAGACTCACCAAACCATAGGACTTCAAAATAGAGGGCTACATTTTTTCACTACTGCTGTATACTAGTATAACAAAAACTTGACTGTATGTACACTTAATAGGACTTCAAAGTCATTCTTCTTCCACAGATCAAAATGCCAGGAGTTTGCATTTTAGACAAGCACTCCAAGTGATTCTGATGTACATTTTGAAGGACATTGCCTTACAAACTATCAAAATGTACCA